ATACTGAACCAGTCATTTGTAATATTTGGGAAGATCAAAAGAAAAGTACAATTGACAGTATTAAAAATTCAGAAAATGATATTTGGTTAGCCGGAGATGGGCAGTATGACTCTCCTGGCTTTTGCGCCAAGTATTGCATCTATTCGGTAATGGATTTACGTAGTGGAAAAATAGTAGACTTTAAACTTGTACAAAAAGATATGGTAAAAGGAGACTTAGAAAGAAAAGGTTGTGAATTATTACTTAATAATCTGACCAAAAACCAAAATTTTAATATTAAATTGTTTCTTACTGATCGACATAAAGGAATTCATTTTTACATTAGAACACAACATCCTGATATACAACATGAATTTGATATGTGGCACCTATCTAAAAGTTTGATGAAAAAAATGAAAACCTTAGAAAAAAAAACATGAAAATGCATATTTATGGAAAAGTAGTATTAATAATCATCTTTGGTGGGCTTCACAAAACTGCAAAGGTGACGGTCAATTATTAGTTGAAAAATTCACGTCTCTACTACATCACATAAAAAATGAACATGAATGGGAAAATAAATGGAGTAACAAAAACATGCGATCATGATACATTAACAGACGAAGAAATAAATAAAAAATTATGGTTAAAATCCGATGACGAATCATACTATGCATTAAAAAATATTATAACTGCCAAAGATTTTATAAAAGATTTGCCACATGCAAAACATTTTGTGCATACTGGCCGCTTGGAACCTTATCATAATGTAAGGCTAAAATATATGCCAAAACGAATTCATCTGAAATATAGAGGTATGTACATAAGATCCATCATGGCTATATTGAACCATAATTACAATACAAATAAACAAATAGTAGGTGATAAAATGGTATACTGGAAACCGTTAGGGAAATACACAATAAAAAATGTATATGAGCTAGTGATGGGAATAATCGAGAGAAATTACTCGAAATACTCGATTTTTAGTTTTAATCGATTATTTCGATTGTTTTGAAAATTCTCAAGTGATTCTCTCGGTATCGAAATCAACTGAAATAATCGAGTGATTAAAATTACTCGGCGAGTGATTCTTTCGAAATAAAATCGACCAATGTCTAAAACATAAAATCTCTCGAAATGAAACATAACATGTATTAGCCATTAGAGTATTAACACTATTAACTATTAACTGTAAATAGTAGAATTAACATATTACGTCATATTGATACTCATACTTCATAGTTCATACTTTTTTATGTTTGCACCTTAAAAAATAGTTACTTTTATAGGTACTTCTAATATTAATGTATTATTTCATTATTAAAAATTATTTCTTGCTAACTAAACAAAACAAATTCATTCAAAAACATTAATTAACTTGTAGTACCTATGATTGTTTACCTATTGATATTAAATATATTATCTAAGATTTTATAATTTATTTGTAACACCATAAACATCAATGTTATGAGATAAACATAATAATAAAAACAACAAAATAAATAATAATATATAAGCATGGTTTACTATAATTACTTACCGTTATCTGTAACAGCAATAATTTGACTATGAGAAATATTCCATTCCGACAGACAATTTGCAAACATACAACTTATATACTCTAATGTATGCGATTCATTTAGTTCATATACTCCCAATGTACCTAAAAAAATCAATACTTCACTTAGTATGCTGTAAATTTACTTTTTTAGTACTAAATATTATGTAATAATATGTAGAAAATATAGTACCCGAAACAAATTGTATTACCTCTAAGAAGTGTATCAAAACACAATCATAACATTAAATGTTATACATGTGCACACATCATTAATTAGCTCCGCGCTCTCTTTTTGTTTTTACCGGACATAATAGTCAGTTTTTTTTCATTCTTAAGTCCAAAAAATTATAAAAAGTTCGCGTACAGACTGGTGTCGGTGTTGAGTCAGTCTGTTTAATATATTTCTATTAAAGGCCGTTTTCCTTTTGTTCAAGAAGTGAAGGTAAATTTATATTTAATACATCTTATCGACGTTTGCGGCTCATTACAGCACAGTGCTCACGTATACACGATTGTATTATTACTCTCGTTATCTTCATTTCGTCCGCGGCACGTGACAAGGTCATCCTAATTACGTTATCGTTTATATTGGAATCAGACTATTTTGCTTTAACTGATTATTCAAGGCGTTTAATTACTACTGCTATTTGTCTTGCATCTCTTTTAATTTAAGGAGTTTTATCTGCCACGAATTCTACTATGTCTTCGGATAATCTTAATTCACCTGTAGTCTCTGACCAGCAAAGGTTGCTCAGATCTGCCAAGTCTTCAGTTCCGCCTTCAACCACCCCACTATCGTCTGAAGAATTTAATCGAGTAATTTCGGCCATGCGTAAAACTCAGAATGCTACTTTGGCTCAATGTAAGGCTCTATCCCTTTCATTCAACAAAAAGTTTTGTGAACTTCAAGTTAGTGTTGACTCACTAGCTTCACAAATTGTTGATGTAAGAGCAGATAATACCTCTCTTCGTAACGAACTTTCTACTCTCAATAATAGGATCGGTGTCATTGAATCTGACGTGGGTAAATTGCCCTCTTCATCTGGAGACAATATTCCTCAGCTTCTTCAAGAACTATCAGAAAGAGAAAAATGTTCTTTTAATGCCATCGTCCACGGACTTATTGAATCTTCTGCTACTATACCAACTGAACGTTTATCTGATGACCTACAGCATCTGTCTGAGTCCATTCTACCACTTGCTATGTCTCTGCCTTCAGATGTGAAGATGATCAGGTTGGGTCGCACTATTGGTAAGAACCCTCGCCCATTAAAAGTCATATTTTCATCAAAGATCACTTCCCAACAATTCATTAAGGACTTTGTAACCGGTATGCGCTCTCGTACTACTACCGACCCACCATTATTGGTGTCGGTTGTTCGTGATCGTACATTAATGGAACGGCAACAAGTACGTCAAGTATATGCCGATTTGGAACAGCGTAGGAAGAACGGAGAAAATAATATAGTGGTCAGACATTTCAACGGCGTTCCTTCCATTGTCCAGGCAAATAAGGATTTTCAATTAAATCATACTACTCATCGTCATGTCACCCTAGCAAAAAACTAACCAGCTTGAACCACCCAGGGACCTGTGGTGACGTCAGTCAATCATCATCATATCTCATCGATCCTCAATGTTTACATTTGGTACCCCTGGCTTCATGTTATCTTTGTAAATTATCTGTTAATACATCTACTGAATTTTTTGATTTTGTAAACCGCTTTAAAAATAATAATCATTTGAATTGTAATCTAAATAGTTTAAACATTTTCTACCAAAATGTCCGTGGGTTAAAAACAAAATTAAGTAATTTTAGATGCTCCATTCCCCTTTTTATTTGTTATGATGTTATTATCCTCACAGAAACATGGCTCTCTTCTGACGTCCATGACTCTGAACTTGGGCTCAATGGCTATCAAATCTTCAGGGTTGACAGAAATGATCTTAACAGTAACTACTCACGAGGAGGTGGTGTTCTCATTGCAATCAAGTCTTATATTAAAACATCTCTTATCTGTACAAACCTCAACACGCTCGAGCAAGTATATACCCTTCTGTCCATTAATTCATTTAAAATTCTTATAGGTGCAGTTTACTTACCACCTATGTCCACGCTCCCAGATTTTGAGGCCCATACCAGCTCTATCGAACACTTAATATCATCTACCAACCCTACATCTATTCTTCTCTGTGGTGACTATAATCTACCTCTTATTAATTGGTCTAAAAGCAACCAAGGTCTTTTCGCATCTGGTACCATGTCTAACACTTCTACTCATCTTGTCGATTCTTTCTCGTACTATAATTTTTACCAGCTCAACCATGTGCCTAATGCCCGTGGATGCCTTCTTGACCTTGTATTTTCTAGTTTTGACACACCTACTGTCCAACTTGCCAACACTCCAATCGTTTCTCCGGATTCTTACCACCCACCTTTGTTTGTATCTTTTCCATTTCCAACTCCGATAACTGCTCAAGACACACGTACATACCGTGATTTTAAATCGGCTGATTATAAATCCATGCTCCGTTATCTAGGATCGTTTGATTGGGAAAATACTTTTTCGCTTTATTCAGTTGATGATTCTGCTGTTGTCTTTAACGATGCACTTTTAAGCTCTATAAATAAGTTTGTTCCCATCAAAGTTTTTTCACCTTCTAAATTTCCTAAATGGACATCCACCATTCTCAAACATCTTATAATAACCAAGAAGAAAGCCCATGCTGTTTATAAGCGAACCAAGTCGATATCTGATTATCTTGTTTTCTCTGAATATAGAGCAAAATGTAAACGCCAGTCAAAAGTTGATTACTCTGCTCATATTAGGCATACCGAGGAGGCTCTATCATCTTCCCCCTCCAAATTCTGGAAATTTGTAAATAATCTAAAACAGAAACCTCCAATTCCGTCATCACTCCATCTCGGTAATATTGTCTCAAATACTCCAACTGAATCAGCTAATCTCTTTTCAACTCATTTCTCTTCGACGTTCAACTCCTCGGCTTTCCAACTTTCACCATTTACTGGCTCATCTGATTACTTATCCTATGAACTTCCTTCCGATATAACGTTTTCTGTTGACGATGTTTTTTCCGCTCTTAAATCGTTAAAAAATACTTACTCTAATGGTCCAGATGACATATCCGCTCAATGCTTGTACAATTGTCGTTTTTCTATTGCTTATCCAATATATTTACTATTCAGGCGTTCATTAGATTTAGGTATTTTTCCTAAGGTTTGGAAAATATCCTCTATAGCACCTGTTCTGAAATCTGGTAACGCTTCTGATATCCAAAACTACAGACCAATTTCTATAATACCACATATTGGTAAATTATTCGAATCGATTGTATACTCCAGAATAAAGCGTAGTCTTAATCATCTTATTATAAGTGAGCAGCATGGTTTTAGATCGCATAAATCAACCGTTACAAGTGGTGTTGCCTTCTCCTCTTATTTATCAGAAGTTATCGAACACAGAGGTCAGGTAGATGTAATCTTTACAGACTTTAATAAAGCATTTGACACAGTGGACCACGATTGCCTTATAATGGTGCTTAAGTCTTTAGGCATTGGGAATCCCCTACTATCTTGGTTGCACTCTTACATCACAGGTAGAAAACAATTCATAAAAATCAAAAATGCTGTTTCGGAGTTAGCTGTAATACCATCTGGAGTCCCTCAAGGAGGCCACCTTAGTCCTCTTTTATTTATTCTGTTTGTGAACTCGATAACCAAATGGATCACTAAGGCTAAACTCCTTCTTTTTGCTGATGATATAAAAATATTCCTTAAAATAGACAATCTTAATCAATGTCATATCCTACAGTCTGAACTAGATATTTTTGCAAGTTGGGCGTACTCCATTGGTCTTAGCCTTAATATAAGCAAATGTCATGTTATGTCGTTTTCTAGGCAGCGATCTCCTATCCACCACAACTATTCTCTTAATGGCACTTCTCTTAACCGTGTCTTCCTCTATAAAGATCTTGGTATTCATTACTCACCATCATTAAATTTTGAGCACCATATTAATGTCACTGTAGGTAAAGCTTTAAAAGTATTGGGTTTTATTAAACGCAATACTAGTCAGTTTTCTTCTGCTCGTTGTCTCTGCACATTATACTTCTCATTAGTACGTTCTATATTAGAATACGGTGTGGTAGTGTGGCATCCCTACCTTGCTAAAGACGAACTAAGACTCGAGCGTGTACAAAATAGATTTCTTTCCTACATTGCCTACATAATGAAGATACCTCACCCAATGCATGACTATTCATTAATTCGTAGTTCATTGGGTATACCAATGCTGTCAACTCGTCGACAAGATGCTGATGAGCGCTTTTTAACCTCGCTCCTAGGTGGCACCATAGATGCACCCGATCTCCTCTCTAAAATATGTTTCCGTATCCCTTCCTTCTTCTCCAGAAATCACGCACTCTTCCAAGTT